CATGATGTGATGATCACATCGCCATGCATTATACATCACAACGCTGTTTGTTTCTCTCTTGCAGACATTTCGCCAAACCGCTTGAAGATGGAAGACGTGAAATCTGGTATAGACACCGTTCTACCAAGTGACCCCCTTTTAGGCTTGAAGGAATGGAACAACACCTTGTCAGACTTATCCTTGATAAAGTATTGATTGGGCCGCCTCCCTTCCATTCTTCCTGGCAGGTCTTCAAATCTCGTCCTGACGAATCTCGGTAGTTGTCCCATCTCGTACATGTTGAAAAACCGCTCGACCAATGACCACACCCTGTTACTAGCTTGTGCAAGATTCATGTTCCCTGGCATGTTATTCGACCAATCCTTGCAATACGCATAAGGCCTGAATCGAGTGTCATTTTCAAAGCAGCGTTCACAACATCCTCCCATTTTTCTTCAGTTTCATTCTTGCAATGTCATTAGGGGACACATCGCCTAGTGGACAAATTTTGGTATTGTATGTATCCTACAATGTTCTGATTTGTCGAAGGAAGGATACAAACGATCCTAGAATAAAGCGCTTCTTCTTGGGGTTATCGAACGTCGACACGTATGGACACCCTTTCAGTGTATCATCGTTGAAGTTTACGACACACACTTTGTTGACCTGAAGCCATAATTGTGCTCAGTTGGAGGCTTATCGACAATGAGTTTGTTCATCGTCTCGGCCGTGTGCTTGCCAGCAACAACATTCCAGTTATAGGTATGAGCCAATTGCACTTGGAGTTTTGCCCCCTTGACCCGTCCTTCCTCAACTCAATGGGAGGAAGCATGAAAATCATAAAATTCATCTTGTTGTTTTCTTTGATCGACGCACTTTGGATTGCATCGTAGATGGACTGCACCAACGTTTCTTGCAATGCTGTATGGTTGAAGAGTATGTCGCCCTCAGGAATCGATAATAGATTTGACATATCCACTTCAATGTCATTGGGTCTCCTCTTTGCATACCCATCAGCATCGAACTGAAGAAGAAGCAGCGGGTTGTGTCAATGTTGTCCGCTTTAGGTTTATCCGAAGGAGCTATCGGATCAACCCCTTTAGCACCCTCACCAGAGTCACCTGCACCAATTATCGGCTACCTTTTAGATGGCGATTTCTCAGATCTTGTGGTCCAGCCTCACGTTGACATTTTGGTATGTCACAAGGGGACCAGCCTCGACCGGTAGGTTACGTGGTACGGGACAATCCTCAGTCGGTGAATTATAGGTCGGGTTCTTTTGGGGGCGACGCCGACCTGCACTCATTGACGTTGACTATGCCGAAAATGATTTGATCTGGCCTGTCTTTCTCTCCTTACAATGCAGTGGAGATGAACTTTCGATGTATCGAAAGACACAAAGGTTGTGAATATTAGATGGCTAGTTCCCCCCGTTGGACAACACCTGCATTTCCAGTACGTTTTTATCTTGCTAAGGAATGAAGTCGGGGTCAACATTTTCAACATATTACGATCATCTTGTTTAGAAGATGTGTCGAACGCTTTTATACAAAATGCCTTCGCACCATACCCCTTGAACTATTCATAATCAAGACATATATTTTTTTCCTTCTTCACGTGGTTCACTCCTTGCTTGCCGTAAACGATCGTCAAGAAAAAACTTTCTAAACTTTCTTGTGTTGTCGTCGTCAGATTTTATAACCCCTTCAAGGCATAACCATTCATTGGTGTTGGCGTTCTTTAAAACAACAGTCGTCCCAAAACTGGCCTGATGAACTCTGTGTCTTTTTAACGGGGAACGCGGGAATTAAACTCTAGTTGAATCCCGTTGGAGCTGAAAACATCCCGTTGAATTTCCGTTAAACACGAAAATGGGCCACTCCCACGCTTTTCAGAAAAACGAAATTGATGCGAGGGGTCTGGAACACATGACCCTAGACACTTGCCCACTCGAACCCCCCCCCCCCAAAAAAAAAAAACACTTCCCTAACTCCTGAAGCACCTCTTATACCACGGAATTAGACCAACACCGACCGACCTGCCACCCACCATTGACCAACCCACCGGCACCAGTCCCCAAACCTACCCGGAAGCCCTCTAAGTCATCTGCCCCCACATCCCCCAACCCACAAGGCCTTGTGATGTGTGTGCAACTATGTTTTGTGTGCGCGAATGTGTGTGCTTGCGTGTGAGAGTGTGTCTGTGCATGAAAATCTATGTGCGCAAGTGTGTTTGTGTATGTGTATGTTTATAAGTGTGTGTGTGTGTGTGTGTGTGTGTGTGTGTGTGTGTGTGTGTG